ATCAAGACTACTGTATTGCTTATATAATTTAACTATTTATTAATTATTTAAAAGAAAATAGATTTATTAAACTATTATTGTATAATATTAATTATTTTAAACTTTCTAAATCTGAACTTTTTAAATATAATCATAGGAAATAATAATATTGTTTCTTTTTAAAACAAAATATCAGAAGTCTATATCTTGAAAAATCAATACTAATATATATTTAGATTTTTATTTTCAAATGAATTTGTAGTTCTAAGAAGTAAAAAAAATTTATTTTTTAAGGAAAAAAAAAAAGTAAAAAGGATAGTTGAAAAGTTTATTTCAATAAATAAAAATTCTTCAATATCAACTTCAATCTATCAGAATAAATCTTTTATCATCACTTGTAACTAAGTAAACTATTTAATTTTTATTATTTCATTGTTAACCAAAAATATTTAAGGATACTTCAAAAAAGTATTTCTTAAAACTTTATACTTGAAGACTTCTAACCTTTAAAGAAAATTAGTATTTTAATTGATAATTTTTTTTCCAACCAAATCTCTAAGAATTTATAACTTCATTTAACTAATGAATAGTTTTAAGACCTCTTTCTCTAACTATTTTTGAGATAATCAACAATAGAAGAAGCTTGTTATTGAATTGAAATAAAACTTCTTTTGATCTTAAAAAGAAAAGAAATAAGTTAAAAAGGGAGGAGAAGACATTATAATATTTCTTAACAATAGAAACATTTCGTCGCCTTGCTCTTTTTACTATATCCAATAATATTATTGGATTTTGTGTTATACAAGATAAGACATATAGGAGTTATATGTCTTGTTTATATTTCTTGCTACATATAGATCAATCAGTCCAAAATTCAAACCAATTATTATTCAGGGATTTTGGTGTAACCAAAAATTCAAGGTCAAATTAAGATAGGCAAAATTTTTTAAAAAAACCAGAAAAAAGTATACATATTTGAGAAAATAAAAGAGGAACTTGATGAAAATGAAAAAAGAGGTTCAAAGGTCAATAATAATCTTCTCTAGAGTCTTAAATCTCTGGAGGAAAAAAGGAGAGAGTTTTTTTTATAGTTTTTTTTTCCTAATAAAATATTTTTGCTTTTGATTTTATATATGGATTTTTTTTGTATTTACTTGCTAAAATATAAAAAATTTATATCAAAGAGAGAAAAAAACAAAAAAAGAGAGGTCAAAGCCTTTAGATATTAATGTTATTAAAGAAAGTATATAAACTTTGTTATAAAGAAATATAAAATTTTTTTGAAATATTTGTTTTTGTATTGATAAGAGAATCAGCAAAAAGAGTTTTTTTAAAAAAGATTTTTATATTAGATCAATATTAATTTTTTATTATAATATATATATAAATATCTATTTATCAAAGAATTTATATCTTTTAAAAAACTATATTAAATATTAATTTATTAAAATAAATATTTTATTTTATTTTATAAATAAACAAATATATATAGATCTATGGGTCTATAGCACAGTGGTAATGTTTCATAGATTACCAGAAGAAGGTTTAGGGTTCAAACCCACCTGATTATAAAAATTTATCACTTTCATAATTGGTTGGTTGATCAGCTTCCAATTCATGTCATACTCAATCAACTAACAATCTACTTTCAAATTTAGTAGGCTGCACAAAGATGGGACCTCTGATTTTTTTGATAATTGCAGATTGAAACAGGTCAAAGCAAGAAAGATTGCACAAGAAAAGACTTCTAGTTTAACTCCGATATAAATCCACAAAAACTCTAATTCAAAACTGGTGACAGCAGACTTCATCATATAACACAAAAGAGGCTAACTCTAAGCAAGATCTATTTCAATCTGGAGCTTAAAGATTTATCCCATAAGTAGTGTTCTTCTGAACTTAAATGAATTGAAAGGACAAAGGTCATTTGCCATAGAAGGTAATAATCTAGGCAAAAATTATTAAGACCAAGTAAGTCTGATAAAAATTGTCAAGATTAAATCAGAATCCAAGCAAGGACACCAGTTCCACAGGTGATAAAAATAGTAATGTGATGCTATGCTAGTGGCACATCCCAAAGATCTGTAATAATAGTAACTGGAATATAGGAGTTAGTCTCTATAATAATATTCAACAATAACTTGCTTCTTGCAATAATGGACCAGCAAGTTTAGGTGGATTTAAACTAGTGGTAGAATTCCTCCTCCTGCGAAAGTCCCACCTAACATGTGGATACATCTTCAAGATGTTTAAATGGATATATAGTTGGATAATAGTGATTAGCATAGCTAGTCTTATAGTAATATATGCACTAGGCAGTGTTAATCTGCAGATTAATTGTAGAGATATAAAGGATATCCTGTATCAACTGATTTCTGATTAATTTATAAAGACATTTGGTATCTGTCTGAATATATAAATATATTAATAAAGATTATACATTATATACATTTCACTATAAAAAAAAAATAATATATATATATATATATATATATATTATATAATAAAAGTTTTAATAACAAATATATTTAAAATTTTTTTAACAAATATTATTTATTTAATTATATTTTTTTAATAATAATAACTAATATATTAATTATTTCAAATACAAAAAAAACTTAATAATATATATTGTTATAGTATGATACGGCGAGTCTGTCGCTTCGATCTGGCCTACGCTGTGTAACAGTCATAATTCGTTTTCCTTTGTAATAGGCGTGTATGTTTTTGGTTGAGTCTATATTGTGGATCTATTAATGTATGATAGTTTTATCGAATGACTAACCTTTTTTCCATTGCTTTACTTGTCACTTTTATACTTCTTTATTATATACTTGATATACCAAATATACTTGATATACTTGATATACCTAATATACCTGATATACCTAATATACCTGATATACCTAATATACCTGATATACCTAATATACTTGATATACCTAATATTCCTGATATACCTAATATTCCTGATATACCTAATATACCTAATTATCTTTTCCTTATTTATCTATCTTTTGGTATTACTATTTTTACCTCTAACAATATTCATTGTTATATCAAAATAAAAAATTGTAAAATATATTGATTTAATTAAATTATGATAAATAAACAAATAAATTATTTATAATAATTTTAATTTATCAATTTGTAAAATAAAAAGAAAGTTAATTAAAAAATAACCTTTATTAAATTTTAAATTGCTTATTTGATTTTTTAATAAAGAAATTTATTAAAATTTAATACAAAATTTAAAAAATAAAATAATTTTCATAAAATTAATTTATATATTATAAAAAATTTTAAACAAAATTTTTTTTAGTTTTAAATTATATTTGAAGATAAATTTATTAATAAAGCATTAAAAAAAATTATTATTTTTTTTTTATATTCTAAAAAAAATATTTTTAAATTTTATAACAAACAAATAATTAAATATTTATTTATTATTAAAAATATTTGTTTAAAAACTTTTTAGACAAACTTTATTTTATAATTGTTGCTTATTATTTTATTTGAAGTTAAAGTATTTGAAAAAAATTCAAACAATTCAATTTTTTGAATTAAAAGAATAATTTTTTTGTTATTGTTATTTTAATATCTAGTTTATTTCAGTATATATAAAGATTATAATTTAATTTTAATTAATTAATTATTTTTATTATATTGATTTTATTAATATTTATAATTTTAAAAATGTTTTAAAAAAAATAGAAAGTCTTTGTTGACAAAGGATTTAATAAAATTATATTTATTGTAATTATTAGAGAGATTAATTTATTAATTTATATGATTTAAATAATATAATAATAAATTTAAAGACTTTTAATTTATCTGTTATAAAATAAACTAATATAAACTATATTTATAAATAAATATTTTATTGAAGAAACTTTATAGTTAAAGTTGAGATAATAATAAAGATCTTGTTAATTTTTATATTTTTGTATATAATAATTGTTTTCAGTTTAGAAATAATAATATTAAAAATATTCAAGAAAATAAACTTATAATAGATAAGATTACTTTTTTAAAAAATCTTTTTTTATAGTTTTAATAGTTTTTTTTATAGAAATTTTACTTTTCTTTTTTGATAGCTTTTAAACATATAAAAAAGAATAATAATTTTATATATAATTATAAATTTTAAAAATTTTTTATCAAGTATAATTTTTAAATTTATACATTTAAAGCTTTTAAACCAATTTACAGTATATACAAATAAATTAAAATTTCATATTTTTAAATTAAAAAATATATTATAAATATTATTTATATAAAATAGAAATAATTTTTAATTTAGTCATAAATTAAAAAATATTGTTAAAAGTCGTTATATTAAAATCATAAAAATAAAATTACAGGTACTTTTTTCACTAAATATAATATTAATTAACTTAATTAATATATATTTTAAAAAGCGCATACATTTTTATTGTTAATTATATGATATCGTATAAGCACTGGTAAGATCGTAACAGCAATTGCATATTTTTTTAAAAATATATTCTACAAATACTGCATATTGATTGTATAGCTTAAATTAGAAATTATGCGAGTAAACGTAATCACCGATAATTTATGGCATATAAATGCTCTATAAATAAGCCATGTGGTAAACTAAATTGACCAAGTAAAACTTTTTCGATATTTCGTGTAATACCATAAAAATTAGATAATCCATTCGTTGTTCCACGCACCTTGGATCGCAGCAATGGCATTTTATACAGAAATATCAAAAAAATTTTGAAAATACGTATTCTATAGGGAGCGCTAGAATTGCGACACAACAGATTGGCACACCAATCAAAGGCACACAGGGCACATGTTCAGTGACACAATAATCGAATACGTAATATATATAAGAGATGCCATTCAAACTTTACTGGAAATTTTTGTTATCGAATAAAAAAAAAATGAATTTTAATTGATTAGGCATTTTATCTTTCTTTGCAATTTTTTGATACTATAATAATTCTTAATAATCGAGAAAATAGTTGAGGCTCAGCACAAAAATAGTGATGTATAGGTAGTTAAAACTGCTAATGTAATCTATCGAAAAAAGAATAGTAACTAGAACTTTATTAAATGCATTATTATAACAGCCTCGAGTTTGATCTTCATGCACTGGCTCTTAACCAGTTAGCGGATATTTTAAGTACTGATCCGGAAACAACAGATGATGAAGTGGCCCGCTTTATAAGTCGATGTCCAGAAATTCCTATAGATGGAGATGCCGAACTAGGAGTGATGGTAGGTTTCCAAAATTGGTATATTAAATTCGTGATGGATCGTGAAGTTAATATTCATCATATTACATTCTCGCTACTGTGTGCTTAGAATAATATATATCAACAAAACATATCAGCATTAGCGTCCTTTTCCTCGAATACGAATAACGAAGCTTTCGTAGATGAGATCTTTCCAATTCTTCTAAATTACTTGAAATATCTTCCAAAATTCTCGTTTGAAGAAGATCTTACATGGAAGGGTATTGTAATCTCAGAGTAATATCTTTTCAAAGTTGATAAAAGTACAAAACAAGATAAATGCGCACATATATCTACATCCATATATATTTGCTCATTATTCCTTCATTGTCTCAGATTACTCACTTCCTGATAAACTTTCGGGAAATATCATAACGGAGCTGCTAAACATATCGATTAAATCAAATTATCGTCGAGAAAAAGTATTCAAGGGAGTGATTTTGTTTATAGATACGTTGTCAAATTTGCTGAAATGTGGAGATGGTATGTGTTTTGATATCCAATCACTGGCTTGATGTATTAATGAAATCTGTGTTATTTATTACTTATTTTTTTTTATTTTTTGCGTGGAAAGTTATATGCATTAGTACTGTCGTTCTACCAATGTTGAATGGAATGTTTCGTGCGCTACAGCTATCACTCATCATGTGGAATTGTAATGATTTTGAGTCTTTGGCACATCATTTACAAACATTCGTTCACAATGATTATGTTCAGGAGATTGACAAAACTTTAGAAACCGTGATCCAATCTACGGATCAATCGTTGGCTTATGCTAGAAAATTTTTGTCTAGATATTCATTCTTAGGATACCCATTATCAAGTGGCGGGATCATATATGGATATATAACTTTGATGAGAAATGTATTAGTGCGCGTAATGATTTCTAATGACAATGCTAACGGGGATAATTCATTAAAGTCATTTAAAGATTTATGGAATTCTTTAGTCAATGACAAGGCAAAAATATCTACATCTGTTACAGAAAACGTTGGAAAAGCCTTAAGAAAAACCTACATCATGTCATTACAATATTTCTCGGAGTTAACTAAAATACACGATAAATTTCTTTCCCAAGGCAACGATTGTCCTCAAGCGCTTTATGCTAGAGAAATAATGTCGGTTAGCTTGGTATGAAATATTCATAATATTTCATTATTCTTGATGAGAAGCTTTATTGATTTCATCTATTTTCAAAGGATCTCTCTGGAGTGATTAGTTTATTTCTTCACGAAGTAGACGATGAGGCAATAGGCTACTTGACCACTTCCTTATTCGTTGTTCCACAGACTCCCGATTTAAAAGTTCAAATCTCCGCGCTAGATGCTGCAACGATACTCGCTTTAAAGTTAGTATGATTTTCATTTCATAAATATTTGTAATACGTTTTCACAATTGTTCTTAGAAAAATTATTTTTTTTTTTTGCACCAACAACATTCAGCTTTCCTAAGACTACATCGAATATGATCCAGACAATAAGAAAATTTTTAATAACGCCCTCAATGATTTTTGAATTAGCAGTTGTAGTTGATAACCTCTCCATTCACGAATATGGAATTCTGAGATTAGCACATTGTCTTAAGGTAGGAACTTTCATAAGTGAAATATGAATGCTTACGAATCAAATTTATTTTAAGCTTATAAGAATTTAAAAAATTTCAAGGCTGTTAGTTCGGAGATGTCTCGTTCAGTTATATACAACCTTCTCGCAACGTTTACAACGGGTGGTCATGAGCGAACTTCAACTTCACAAAAGCTGACTCCCCCAAATAGTACGACCAACTCGCTTACTCCTGATCAAATCTCAATATATAGCTCTGTTAGTGGTACTTCTCGCAGTGAAGAATCGCGTCAGCAAATGCTTGAAAATATTGTCTGCACTGTTGCTGGGGTTGCTTGTATTTTGAAAGATGAAGATGTTCGTTTTTTTTTGTTTAATGATCACTAAATAGAGGTCCTGCATATTCACTGACTTTTGTGATGAAATTTTTATAGATCACAGCTTTATGTGTTTCTATGCTTGCTCCACGACTTCGGAACCACACACCAGCCTTGGATGTTGTTATTCTTGAGAAATTTGTTGACCTTGCATTGATTTCTTCAGAAAAGATTTTTTCGGAGATCGTACAAAAATTTTCAGATATTAGCCGTCAGTCGTTGTCACCCGACAATAAGATAGTTACCACCGCAGTAATTATCATCGTTAATTCTTGATTTAATTTGTACCATTCAATCCGTTTATTGATTTTGCGCGAATTATAGGTTCTCAGGTGTCAGCAAGATTTAGCTAATAAAATTCATTGTCGGCCTGAATTTTATGAACTATATTTATTAAAGATTTTGTCGTTGTTTGTGGAAAAAGGGGTGGGGATTCAACAAACGGTAGCGAAAAACGGCAAGTTTCAGGTAATAGGCGATTATCTTGTTACGCTCGTCAAAAATGACTTTCTCATTCTTTCAATTATTAGGTCACTTCTCTCGTAGGAGAAATCGGGATTTTGCTTCCTGTTCTTAAAACACTTTTATCGCACAAAGACTTTAAAGTACATTTGAGCACCTCGGAAGAATTTGTTGGACTATTTCGAAATCTTTGGTTTCACTGCGTGCTGTACGGATTTGTATCTGAAGAAGCTTGGGTGCGTGAATGGAGGGATTCGTTGATTGTAGTTGCTCAAAAGACGCCTCCTCTTGTTCTGGAGAGTGCAAGAAATTATATAGAAGTTGACCTTGAGTTCAATTCGGTATTGATTCGAGGAAATTCTGACCAGGTTTATGCTTTTCTTTATTTATAATGGTAGAATTCTTTCTTTATTATTCTTTCTGCTAATAATTTGTTTGGAATTTAGGATCTTGCAAATGTTCGAGCTTCTCTTTCGACTTTTATGCCAAATCGTGCGTACGAGATCAAGTATTTTTCGTTTGCCGAAGTTACATTCCTATTATCTGTATATCACATCGAGATAATGAGAAGTCAAATGGGACAATGTTCTTTCATTCAGAGATATCTTGTTAATGAGGGTGTGAATGGTAGTAAATTGGTTGGATGCATGGAGGAAATTGGGAACCAGGTAATATCCTTTTTGAATTGTGCTATTAAAATTTGACTTTACAAACCTTGTCTCAGACGTTTGCTCTTTTAAACTTTAGGTAATTGATGTTTTCATCAAGGAATGCTCGAACAGAATGATCGCTCACACCATTGACAACGCCATTCGCACTCAAATACGTAATCTCATGATTGCCTCCTGCCATCGCCTCAGCAAAGTTCATCAGCTAGCTATTAAGCATCTTGACAGTCTGATGTCGACCTTCCCTTCTCTATTGTGTGACAAAAGTTTATCATTCTTATTGTTGGAGTTGATCGAATTGGTGTGGCAAAGTTGCGAGTCGGAATACACAAATGAGGTATATTTACTAATTTGCATGATGTTTCATGATTTGAATTAAGTCAGTTGAATATTATTTTGTTTATTTGATGGTTGAAGTATTCTCCAGTTTTTGCTTTTCCTTCTGTGAAAGTCGGGGTTACTCTTTATTTGTCTGATTCATACGACTATCGGAAAGAAATGTTGACACGTTTATGCGAAAGTTCCAAAAAATGGTTTTTAATGGCCATATCTCGTGCACCTTATGAAGTTCGTGGACTATTGGAGGTGAATTATTTTTTTTCTTCGTATTATTAATTTGAATTTTGTTCTGTCATATGAATTATTTTCTTTTCTTTAGGAATATCTTGCAGAATTTGATCATTCTCACGCATATAACACTGTTCACATGGGATGTTCTATTGCCCTTGAAATTGGAAGTTATTTTACGCGTCTAGATCCCAACACAGGTTTGCATTCTGTCGATTTTTATTCACTCAATGATATTTTATCAGCAGATGCCATTATAATAGTAACGTTTTCAATATCATACGTTAGTAATAAGTCCACGCATACCAGCAATATCGATAAATAATGTTTCCGAACTTATACATGATTATTCTGCAAGACGTTATTACTTTGGACAAGTGACCAGCGCTCGTCATTGGATGAGCTCAGGTTCGGAAAGTAAGTTGTTGAGAACATGTATAGTGATTAATTCAAAATTCATATCCAAAATCTTTTTCCTGCGTAGACCATACATTTGATACCACACCAGATAAGAAGCATGATGTTATTACGGAGGAACAGATACAAAATATGCGAGACACTTTAACTGATTTAGGAAAAAAAGTCCGCAAGGGGTTACACGTTACACTCAAGGATTTAAACAATATACTATACTTAGCAGCCGGAATGCTTGTTTCCATGTCGAAAGTATGATGATTTGTAAATTTAAAATAAGTAATGTAATACTTTTTAAAAAATTTTTTTGTTTATTAGCCAGACGAAGATATCGTTCATTCCATAGTATGGATTCCAGTTTATTTATTTACCAGCGACTCCATCAAATTGGGCATCTCCATTTGGAATTGGGTAATCAATGAAAAATTAACGTTGGAGAAACGAGTCATGAATGAAGTTGCCTCGGGATGGATTTGGACCTTGCGAAATCGCAAGGGTTTATTTTCTCCGTTACTTAAGTATGTATTTCATGACACCAGCACTGATATGGATCCTGATATTTATTCACGTTATTCATGACGTAAACCTTTTAAAATTTTTTAGTGTGAAAGATCCATTTGTGAACAAAATGCAGTATGCACCTTCAGATAAGGCTACTAGGGATAGGAATTATAAACATGCTAGACATTCGTTTCACCCACACCTGATTTGGTTAGAATGGTTATCTGGACGTTTCCATGCTTTTGGGTATCGATGCGCCGAATTGGTCAACCTTTATGTGAGGCTTTTCCAAACGACACTTGACGAATGTCAGAACATTTGGTAAGTCGTAGTAATAGCTATTCCCATTATTTTTGATATTATTACCATTCAGTTACAAAATCATTATTCCTAATATAATCTTTCTCTATCAATATCCATAATATACTAATTATAACACCAATATTGATTCTAATTGTATTATTTATAAATCAGCAATCATCCTTTATCCCGAGAAGGTCGACTTCATATAATAATAATGGGATTTAAGATTTTACAGTCTAATAAAATGGAGGCATCAATAGAACTTAGATTTCGAATCAGAATATTTAAGGCTGCGTTCACATGGTTTTCTTTGCCACCCAGGTTTGTTTTAGAGTAGACCTCATTCAGATGTGATAGGTTTAATTATATAATTTAAAAAATTTTTTTATTTCAGATGGTCATACGGTGGCAATAGGAAGTCCATGATCACCGAGTACAAGTTGTTGATCGAAGTTTACAAGTTAGTAGAAAACGATAAAGTGGAATTGTGCGACGTTTTATCCACAGCTCCCAAGAAACTATCACAGTTTTCGTTGGCTTCACCTACGTTTTCGATTCAAGGTAAGAAAAATTACGTTATGATTATTCAACTTGTAGTTATTATTTATTAATAAAAGATATATTATTATTATGTTATTCTTGTTATTAAGAGAAAGATCGTGATGAGATGGCCAAATCAAAGAGATTATTTTTATTGTTTTTGGAAAGCGAAATAAATAATTTGTCGACGTGGATCAATCCCTTAAATTCTCCCGAGATATTAAAAGAGAATTTTGTTCCTAGCATTGAAAGAACAATGAGTGATGTAATTATCTAATGCACGTTTTTCATCACTTGCATTTTCGAAAGCTCTAACAAATTGTGTTCATACTTGCAGGATGGTTGGAAACAAATTATTCGTCATTCCTGGTTGATATCACCAAGTTTATCTATTCAGATGACTAACAGATTCAAACAGTCGGTAGTCCAAAATGAAGTGTACAGATTGATAGTTAATAATTCAGCAGATGCTGTGAGGGTGTCAGATGCACTACCTTTGTTGTTAGGAGATAAATTAAATAATGCCATTGCTCCTCAATTAAAGGTATTTTGTATTTCATATAGTCCCCTTCATTTTTTCTTTCTTAACCTTCCTTCTTTCCCTTTTTCTTTTTTATTGATATGTAGTATTTGTTGTATTGGGAGCCAGTACCCCCTATAACTGCTGTTTCATACTTTTCAGTGAACTATAACCATCACCCCTTGGTTCTACAATATGCAATGCGGTCTCTTGAATATCATCCAGTCGACATTGTTTTCTTTTACATACCTCAAATTGTCCAAGCCTTAGGATTCGATAACTTGGGTATCTATTATGAGTGTTTTTCTTTTGTATTTCAAAGTAAATATTTACGCCATTTACAATTTAGGCTACGTGGAACGTTTTATTATGAACGCCGCTAAAATATCTCAGCTGTTTGCGCATCAGATCATATGGAACATGAAGGCAAATATGTACAGAGATGATGAATCGCAAATAGTAAGTTGGAGACTATTGAGTTTTGATTTTCAAAATTTAGGTGTTTTTACCAAAATGCAATATATTATCTAGCCCGATCCATTAAAACCAACCTTGGAAAGGGTCATTGAAAATATTGTTGATTCCCTATCAGGGGAAGACAAGGCATTTTACGAGAGAGAATTTACATTTTTCAATGCAGTAACATCAATATCAGGAAAATTAAAGCCTTATATTAAAAAGTCGAAATTGGAAAAGAAGGTGCTTTTGGGTTTTGTTTATTCATTCTCAACATTTCGGAATACTAAAACTTTCTTATTGGCGTAGGCAAAAATTGATGAAGAAATGGCAAAAATCAAGGTGGATGTTGGCGTATATTTGCCAAGTAATCCGGAAGGAAAAGTGATTGGCATAGATTATAAATCCGGAAGACCGTTACAAAGTCACGCAAAGGTTATAGGACCATGATTTTTCTATTGTTCGATCGATTAATTCGATTAATTAATTAATTGTTTTTGGTTTTTGTTTATTTTTTGATTGATTGATCAATGTTATTTAGGCTCCGTTCATGGCGACATTCAGAATTCGGAAAGATGCAACAGATTCTGAAGACATCAAAGAAACTATAATTCAACTAACAAATGGAAATAATGGCGATAATAAAACAAAAACAGTCGATGTTTGGCAGTCAGCTATATTTAAAGTTGGTGATGATTGTCGTCAGGATGTCTTGGCATTGCAATTGATCGCAATTTTTAAGAATATTTTTACCACCGTGGGGCTCGATTTATATTTATTCCCATATAGGGTTGTAGCAACAGCACCTGGGGTAAGTTAGGGAACATCATTTTTTTTATGCTAGATCATCCTTAAATTTGATTTATGAAAACACAAATTTCGCTTTATTGACATTGTAGTGCGGTATGATAGATGTAATTCCGAATTCAATATCTCGTGATCAACTTGGCCGTGAAAGGGTCAACAGCCTTTATGAGTACGTTGGTTCTTGGTTCCCTAAAGATATTATTTTACATTGTTATAATTAAAATTTTTTATTCTCAGTTATTTCCTTGCGACTTATGGCGGTGTTGAGTCAATTGCTTTTCAGAAGGTAGGCGCTGACAAGGCCTGATTTATCATTATTTTTTATTTTATTTTTATTTTTATTAAAGACCGTTGTTACATATTTATTAGGCAAGAAATTGCTTTATTCAAAGCGCAGCAGCCTATTCAGTTGTGTCATTCTTGTTACAAATCAAGGATAGGCATAATGGAAACATTATGTTAGATAATGAGGGTCATATTATTCATATTGGTAAGTTGGTGATTAGTTGGTCATTCGTCTATTTTGTAATTGGGGAAACATTTAATAAATTTTTTTTGTAAAGATTTTGGTTTTATTCTGGATATCGCACCCGGTGGAATTACTTTTGAAAGTTCTCCATTTAAGCTTACGACCGAAATGATTCAAGTCATGGGTGGTAATGCCGAAGGTCAGCAATTCAAATGGTTTTCAGAATTATGTATCAAGGCATATCTGGCTTCAAGGTATATATTTTTGCCATTCATGTTATTCTGTTATTGGTTATGTTTTTCTCCTGATACATATCCTTCATCGAAATTTGTTAAGACCGTATGCAGAGAATATATGTCAAGTTGTAGGCTTAATGCTTGGATCCGAACTTCCGTGTTTCAAAGGTGATACACTCAAAAGGTTGAGGGATAGGTTTCAGGTTGGCCGAACTGAGCGTCGTGCTGCTGACTACATGGTTGAGAAAATCAATCAATCTTTCGAAAATAAAAGAACAGTGTTGTACGATAGCTTCCAAAAAGCTACTAACGGTAAGGAAATGTTACGGATTATTTTTATTTTATTATAATTTGTTGTTTTCGGATGGCATTGTATTTTTTCATAATAATGATTTTTTTTATATCTTTACTATTTCAGGTATTCCTCACTAAATTTATTTCTGTACATATTTTATATGTTTTTAAGAATTTCAATTTGGGGTTATTTATGCATTTATATTTCATCGATGATCTCTAAAAAGACCTCATTTACGATTTCGAGGGTCCATAATTTATTCTATCTCAGCCCCTATCGTATTTTTTAGATAGACTTATTTGTATAAAAAAAAAAAAAAAAAAGGAAAGGAAAAATGTTTTTAAAAAGTATTATAAGTATATAGTATTTTATTTATATAGAGTCTTTATTGAATATTTTTACAATTAGCTTTTGCAATAAACATAATTTTTTGGGGATATGTTTAATTACAACTCAACCCTAGGATCTTTGCGACATTGTTAATCTTTGCACAAAGTAGGTTAGCATGAAATTGAGTTTAGTGTGCAGCTCATAATTTTATTTGAAATTTTTTAAAGTAATCCTCAAACAGGGTTGCAAATTTGTACTAATATTGTACTTGGCAGTATGCACTAGTTATTATTAGCTTGAGATCAAGAATCCATAAATAAGTTGTTGTTTTTCTCTAAATTAACAACAGGCCCTCATAATACAGACGATGTTTAAAATTAAAGAGTAATACTTTGTTTCTCGAAATCACTGAAACTGATTACAGAAATTTCTTTTTTTTTTAAAACATTCATTTTCATATGGATCATCACAGTTTTATTTATTTTATAATTCCCAATTGAACGGGTGGGTTTATCAATATTGTTTTTTGGTGTCCAATGGATAAATGTTCCTGAAGCTAGAGATATAAGGTATTTATCTCATTACTTTTTTAGCAGCATTGGCTTATGTTTTCGAAGACTTTCAGCGACCTGTGTAAAATGTTCAGTGAGAATGATCTCATTCATAGCATAAACATATTGACATTTTAAGGATTCTTTGTCATTGCTTCTAGGAAGATATTCTGAGGCAATGTCGGCCATTTTTTGTAAAGACTGTCCATAACGGGCGTGCGATCCGCTCGATCCAGTAAACATAATCGTGTAAAGAAAAAGGTACGTTCTATGGATACAGGTTAACAACTTTCAATTAGTAACCATAGTATTTTGTAAATGCTGTTATTAAGTTGTCATACTTACCCGCGATCCTTTTCCCTCTGGCAAAGAGATCGCAGCTCATTTTCTGGGGGATTATTTTCACCATCTGACAAGAAGATAATTACGTTTGTTCTGTCGTAAACAAAAAAATTACTCCATGTAAGTATATACTGTAAATTAGTTCGCATTATTAATTATGTAAACTTACTTTGAAGGATCATAATGTCCTTGAATTACGTCAGTGGCTTTTTTTATTCCTTCGCGATAGTAGGTGCCACCCCCTGGACTATATCTCAACATTATCTCTAAGAGCTCATCTGAATTCGCCAGGCTTCTATTCTCAAATGCAACTAATGCAGCGGTGTCAAAGAGAACAAGTGATACAGTATCTTGATCTACAGACATTTCTCCAGCGCGTGTTGCTTTTCTCGAGCTTTTTCGAGTTTCCATAAAACTATAAATCGCTTCGTAAACCGCACCCAATCTGTTATTATGCGATTTTTGTATGCAAGCTGTTTTGACCCTATCCCCGTGGGGTCGACAATCGCCTGTATTCATTGAGCCACTTCGGTCCACCACAAATACAATATGAAAGTCACCAACGTTAGTTGTGGGATTCTCGCACGTGAACTGTAAACAAAAAGGTTAAAAGGGATAGATGTATGTCAAAATACTGTAGTGACTAATGCAAAAGACATCATCTTTTACAATACAATTATTTCTTGCCTGATGACCGTCAATTGAGATATAACCTATTCCGGTCGAAGGTTTAGAAGTAGGATCCAAAGGGGGATGAAAGATTTCTTGCGTACAAAAAGATTTTGTTGGTTCCTTTCCTGAAAATTTATCGACCTTATGGTGCTTTTCGTCAACGCACTCATGATCACATTTTTTAAATTCCTCGCGATCATCTTTGGAGTATGGATCTACAGTATTGCAGCACAGTAAATTAACATTACATAAAATATAGATTTATAATGTCGAAATAATGCATGCCTTGAAATTTCGTGCGCTCCCAGAAAACGCGATGGGAAACGTAATCTTTTTTTCTTGTCGGAAAAGGACTAATATTTGCTGTTTTAATGACATGCCAAAAATTTTATTTATAAAAATACATAAATATTCCTGTGCTGAATATACCAATTCGTATAGAGAATGTTACCATTTATGTGTTCCAGTATTCCTTCCTTTTTTCTTCCACCGGGTCCTTCGCATAGATCTGGATCTCGACAGTAATCTATGTGACGGTGACGACCAATATTTTCGCAAAGCTATAAAAAAAAAAAAAAAACCAAGAAATTACATTTCGAGTTTATGAAATTTAAATTAATAACTCGCACCTGGTATACCTTGTGGCATAAAACAAAATCACCTCTATCCCCTACATTTAGGCGATGACCTGTTAAACATCTTGCCGGTTAATATACAGTACTGTGACCCGAATATTAATTTTATTCATACAATAACAGGAATTCAAGATTTGTGACCTTCAAATTCGAATTCATCATCTTCACAGGTAAACGTAGTTAAATACATATTTCCATGTGCGGTCGCTAGAAAAAGGTTAGAGATTAATTAAAATTTACGATAAAACGAGAAAAAAAAAATCCAAACCAAGTTCTTACAATGTTCGGTATTGTATTTCTTTCCATGATCGTAAGGTAAGGTACACTAGTAATGGTGGTAGTAGTAATTATGGCAACAATAACAATAAAGTTATCACGGTTTGGTTAAAAAACAATGGTTTTTTCATAAATGGAATAAGTCCTACATAATATGCACAGTTAGGACATTTTTCATCACAATAATGAAAATTTTGCTTATTCTCTTCATCCCTGATATGCTTTCCTTTGTCATTTGGACACAAAGAATCACACAAGTGATCTTTCTTTATTTCATGAACATGTTTTCCCTTATGTTGAAACATATATGGTGGAATTTTCACACAACATGGCAATCTTTGGAAAGTTTGTGAATACTAAAAAAAAATACATAGTACAGTAGCGAGATTATAAATAGTTTGCATTAAATTAGAAACCAAAGTTCATGCGCTCACCTTAGTGAACATAAAGCTTCCAAACCTATTAGTAAAAAGATCCAGATTATATTAGACATTTTTCCATGCTCTTTTGTCAAATTTCTTATATTGCTTACTTGCTGACATATTCGGCTTCTTCTTTAACAATTGCTGTTGGTTCTGTTACAATCTTGCAGATCCCCTTTTCCTCACATTCTTTAGGACATTGGTGTTCATTACTTAAAAAAAGAGAAATGATAAAATTAAGGTAATTAACTACACCTACAACCTAATATTATTCAAACAAAAAAAATGCCACAACTCACCCACAAAAATGAGATACATTTTTCTCCAGAGCATGAAAATGATTAGTACTTTCACATCGTTCTCTACAATTTGCTATTGGACACTCAATTGGACACACTTCGTTTTCGCATCTATGGATCGAATGATTCTCTTCGCATGGAAGCTGGAATATGTAATAAACATTAATATTATTAGTAATGAGATAGGAAGAGTTTAATAATGATAAAGTGAAGTGTACTTACAATACACAAATTCCGGCATTCATATTTTCCTTTCTGCGTTACAGCTTTCAATGAACAAGGAGCACCGCAAAAATGCCTTGTTGATTCACATAAATGAACTTTATTTCCTTCAACATCATGATGATCAGCATCCTTCGCGCACACATTTTGACAATTTCTTTTTCCGGAATAAACGCAAGGTGCACCACATGCATGTGAAGTTGAACATCGATGTTTCCCCTGATGATCCGCAAAATTTACACATTGAGGAATGCTCCCATCATTATGAACTTCTTTAAATTCACACAGGTGATGACACTTGTGATCGGTCATACAATCATGACTTGCGTCATCGTCATGACGGCTAGCCTTCAGACAAGATAATCCACATTGGTCACAGCGAAGACGGCAAATATTCCAAAATAGATTAAGACGACTAGTTTCTTGGTTGAGAGCACAGTTTATGGTGTAGACGTCATTGTGATCTTTTGGAAATCGTGAGGTATTTTTCGTGATCCATTCCTGCAACCTCCTTATTCGCCGATTTATGATCAATTTGAAAAAGTTATCCAGTTGTACCATCCACTCAGAATCAGGGATAGATCCGCGGGAATAAACATTTTTTTCAAAATACTCTCTTAGATCTAATCAAACAATCATGAATGAACGCGCGAATTGCGGAAATCGGATAATTACAAGATCAAGTGGAGAATCGCTTACCAGCAGAAATTTCAACAAAGTTTCCTTTATCTTTAAGTAACACAAGTCCAGTGTCTGGCATTAATTTAATTGATTTATCAACATGTTCAAAGGTATCGGAAAGAAACACATCATAGTCAGGGATCGGAATTCCGTCGTCACGACCCTGGAAAATACTTATTTATCAATCGAATGCACGAATGCAAAGCCTTATGGCGTAAAAATCAATACTATACATAGCAACATCAATTACAGTACCATAAGTCGCTTAATAGTTTGGTCTGATGATTGACCTTCTTGGGAGATTTCCGAATCTAGAAATGAATCGTCGTCTTTTTGTTCGTAACCAAAGGATATTGCATCTTTGAGAAGCATTCTTAATTCTAACGTTCTCATAGTAATCAACGTCTCTTGAACACTTCCCCAATCGCACACTCTGAGATAGATTTAGAAATAAAGATAAATTATTCGTATAACATCATTTTCTTTCAATACAAACTTTAGTACTTAAAAACATTACTCACTTTAATTTTGTCATTAACACCTATAGCGCAAAAAAATTCTTAGCGAACTTCTTTAATGTACCATCAGAGCTACCATAGCGACAATATTAAACTAACCTTAATTTTTTCTACAAACATTCGAGCGTTGTCATACTGAGATTCTTGACCATCCAGTAAGGTTTTAAATTTTTTAATAGATGTGTAAAATGATGATTCGGTGAATACTGGCCAAGGAAATATAGTCATTTTGTTGCGATAAAGCTTCGTTATAAAGTTATCTTCTTCCTCCTATGAACAAAATGTATGTAAAATTATTGTTTGTAACGCCTTAGGCTTGTGCTACAATTTGAAAAATGGTCATTTACGTTATCAACAATTCTTGCGAATTTTGAATAAAACTCTTCTACAATATCACTCCTGTCGGATCTAGCAACGTCTTTAATGACGATACAGAAGCGAGCCTTTACAGTATTATCAAAATGTGAATGTATTAATATGTATTATTTGTCTTGCAAGGGCATGCGTATCGTATATACCACTGAATATAAATATGTCTACCTGAAAGATGTCGGGATCTTTTCCAAAATAATCCGTTTTGTCCTGAAAACGTTGAAACATAGAAGAGATGTCTCGACTAACTGCGAATTGACTCTTGAAAATTACAAGATTTGAAAGAGCCGCATTTAAGAGTTGCAAGAAAGTTTCTTCCTGTGACGACCTCTCAATACTTGCCAACCCTAATCCAGTATACAAAAAACATTGATGTATTAAACATAACTATTTTCCAAGCAATTCTTCTGTGGATAAAGAACAATCTTACCCTCAAAGTCAAGTGCAACATAAAGTATATCATTTGATTTGACTATATAATGAAAATAAAGTCCAAATTGTAATCGAACCAAGGTGTTAAAAAAAATCGCACGCAACTTATCGAGATTTTACCTAACGACATCCATACTCCCTCCGTACAGCGCTGATGATGAAACAATGTTAATGCACTGTATTTACCATCATCAATCAGTTCATGAAATTTATAAAATGACAAACCATTGCAGATCCATCAAAGGTTGAACCGATGCAATGATTTAGTAAATAACTCTTGCCTTGATCCGAGAGCATACGATGTATTATTTACTGGTATTAGTATTATTACATTAATCATTCTCATTCGATGTTCAAAGAAACTTACCGCAGGATTGCTCTCCCATGGAAGAAATAACTTTCACCTTAAGACTTGAGTAATAGTCAAATATCGACTCATACCACCCAAAAGAAATGGACTTTGTTACACTTCCGATGAGTCCAAAACCGTCGTCCAATGTTGCCTGTTCTATTTCCGATGTAAACACACCGTCTCGAAGTGGGATGAATTCTTGATCTCTCGTGATAGCGATTTGCAAAGGAATCAGACAAAACAACTCAATAATCCAACTTTATTAATGAAAAACCGAATTAGTGTGGTGTTATTATAGACGGATAGAAATAATCCTCATTATTATTAATATTATTACTTACTCGCCAAATTTGTATTCCGTATATTTATTTTTCAAATCATCAATATCTTCTAGAGTTGTGCAGGAGCTGCGAAACCTTTTAAGATGACCGATAGGCTTCTTGGTATCCTTCTTAAACTTCTCAAATGATTTTTCGATGTAACGCTGGAACTTGATTTCGCATTCATTCACCTTCATTTCGCTACCTGAATCAAGATCTATCACGATTGTCAATGTTAACGGATTATCCGCCCGACCAATTGGGCTTGATATCGCGTACTTTGTGAAAACCATGGAGTACACATCGAGCAACCCGTTAACTTTCGTTCTTGGTTCAATAGAAAAATTTTGCCATTGTCCATAATGTGAGGATTTAAAAAACTCTTTTGAAATTTTCAATTTGTTGTCAGAAATGATCTCTACAACTTGACACCTTTCATCGCCTATGACTATGAAATCACCGACATGAATGTTCTTTTTAAAGTTGGTATCTTGTCCGAAGATTATAAATAAATTGTGAGCTTCAACTTTCACTTTTCCCAAAGTTGTTTCTGCCGATTGCCTTTCAAATCGATATTTCGTCTTTGCATGTGTGATCTTGACAATTGCTGATTGGAAAGAGCCATCATATTGATCAATCGTCGTCAAATGAATCTGTCGCATATTAAATAATGAAAATTGAAAAAATTCGATCGACGGGTTCTTAAATGGAATTTCAACCACTTTGCTCGCATTTTGGGTGAATTTTTCAGAGAAAAACACGTATCCGCGAACGACCTCAGTTGTTGAACATTCTGATTGATCAAATAACGAGTCAGAGTTCAAAAAATTTTCTGATTCAACAGTTTCGTCGGATTTATTGACATCTCTCGTTTCTTCACTATCCAATACACCTGTACTTGTTACTTCTTTATCATCTGTCTCATCCGTACTTGTTATTTCTTTATCATCTGTTTCATTCGTACTTGTAATTTCCGGATCTACGGAATTATCTGAAATGTTTTTTGTCTGCATCGTTTCTTTCACGAATGCTACAAAACAAGTACCATCTGGAGTACTTATCACGCGACTCGAATCAGTTGGCAGCTGAGCTATCCCGGGTCTAAAACTATTGTTGATCAAGTTATAAACTCGTGCACGACCATTTACTTCTACAAAACAAATGTCTTCGGTATTTTTGATAAAGAAGAAGTGAGCGATATCAGGAATATCATTGTTGTACCATTGCTGAAGTAGAATGTTACGGTATCGAAGGTGAAGGTTGGTACGCTCTTCATCAAAACTATATGCATTGAGCTTGTTATTTGGATATGAAGTTGTTATTTTTAGTTTACTACACACGACAACTGAAGATTTCAAAAAACTCACTGTGATCTCTTACCGATCCTCGGATTTTGTCATAAATAGCAACCAAACCTTTAGGTTCGTTGACAGCCACCATAAAGTCTTCGCTTAGATTGAGCTTTTTCAATGCAGTCTGCTCTTTCAAAACTTTTTGCAGGCGTGTAATTATATCGAAATAGATCTCCAGTTTATTTGTTATTTTATTCCAAAGAAAGATCAGAAACTTTCGATCGAACTGTGCGATGTACCTGTGGCAGAGAGTGTGCTTTTAATAAAAACCTTTATCTCTCTAATGACGTGTGGAAGAAATAATGATAATTACTTGAAGTCATATGTTTCTGGAACAATTTCAAAAGAAATGCCATGATTTCCACCGCACGTGTGTATCATCGGTTGTGGAATAAAGAGCTCATTCTTAACGATCTCAAGTGCATCAGCCTGACTGAGTTGAGTACTGTAAATGGTAATGCGTAATTGCTCCGGGCGAGAAATCTCAATTTCCCGGAATAATTTGTATGAGTATGTTATATAACCCACGAATCCGGATACTGAATGTTTGAGCGTGTCAATGTTTTTTATTATTCAGGCTTGATAAGAATATGTTTTGTTAAAAACATACTGTACCTGTACGTTCCACATCTAAAATCGTCAAAAGGTCACCTCCCGAGTAAAGTAACTCGAGTTTGTCGCATATTTCGTCAAAATGTTTCCTTTCGATTTCTCGATTTCTATCCTGATATTCACGTTCATAATATTTATCTTGAATTCTTTCTTTTTCTTGTTGAATATTTTGAATCATTAACCCTTCATTATATGGAAGTACTTGCTTTCTCCAATATTCATATTTTTCCATAAACTTCGCCGCGATCAACTTGTCTCCAAGTTCAAATATCTGGTGCACAAATTCATTATCAGGAATTTTTTTGGCCTCCTGCTTAACACTGTCAATTATATCTCTAGCACTCTCGCTATTTCCGGTAGCGTAACTTCCGAAAAAGTATTTCAACAAACCACGATTACTTTCCTCTGTTATGTATTTCTTTACCAAGGCGTTGAAACTTTTTTCCTCATTAAAGAATACTTCATGTACTGAATATTTCTCTTCTGCACCTAAATCAGCACAACGTCTTGCAAAGAGAAATCGAATCTTGCTATCATACCATGAATCCGGTGAAATTTTGTTGATCAAACTTTGTATCTGCGATTCGACATCACTGTAGTTTGTCTTGATACGGTCGATTTCTAGAAATAAGGCATTGGTGAAACTGTATATATAAACTAATTACAGTACTAAAGAATCAAGTCGGTTCTACTGACCATCTTCATGTAGGGACACGTCTGGTCGCGTGTCTTCGAAACCTCTACAAATTTTATGGCATCATGTGAACATAATAAATCAAAACCTCAATATTAAGATGAGACACACACCTGTAAGTTTCCTTCAACTGATATTTCACAAACTTTTCTACAACCTTCATGTCTTCTTGGATCCTTTTTTTCGCATTACTCTTTATGTCAACTTTATTTTTCTTAAGATGTTTCAAGTCAACTTCATAAGGATCGAAAAGTTCTGGAAGCCTCAGGACATCCTTAACAATGATCTTCAATTTATCAATGGTCAAAAGACGACTAAATCTAAGGGCGCACTTCTGAGTCTCAAGCCTTTGCTGGAAATAATCTTGCAACTTGCCTAAGGAACCATATTTTTGATATCCTTGCTCGGTAGTTTTTGTGGACGGTACTATTTCTCGGGTAAGAAATGTTTGATTTGACACCGATTCAACAATTAATGGACTCAATGAATGGTCATCACCAGGATGGGTCAATTTTTCAAATGGTGTCTTACATTGGCAAATTTTAAATTAGATACTGTATACAGTAATATACAATTATTACATATGGCACGAATGCATATCGACTTTGACAGCTTACATCAAAACCCGGAAAGATTTCAAAATTTTCCTTTTGTTCTTGACTTTTCTTAACTTCGAAGTTATAAGCGATGCTATCTTCTTCAGAGTCCTCGGATTCCCCTTCAAAACTTTCATCTTTTCCAAAAATTTGCCAGTCAAAATCTTCCAAAACATCGTTCTCTGTTACAATACGATTCAGACTTAATCAAAGAAAAGATCTCGCAAATCACATGCAAACTAGGTCACGACATACCGTCCATGAGACATATCTGATGAGTTGTGATTTTTGTCAAGTATCTAACGGTTTGTAAATAAAGACAAGAAGACGAAGTTAATATAAAGACAAGAAGACGAAGTTAATATACAGCAATAATACTGTATACAACTGTAATAAGTAGTCTGTGAGTTTGGACAAAGAATAAAGTTAACCTGTGCAAATTAGTCAAATTTTTCTTTGTGTAAGATGACGCGGTGTCTTTGTAACAACCATCCTCGCTCCAGTGTATGACCATGAATCTCTGAAATTCCTCTTCTAATTGCAGAAGATAAATACCAGGCCTTAAAGTTGGAACCGGACTTTTACCGTTAACGGCACTCAAAACATGAGGTACCAAAAGCGATTCATACCTGCATTCAAAAATTAATATTAAAAATAAGTTCAAACATGTTAATGTCACTGACTGTACAGTACTCACATAGATTGATCGACGATTCCTTTCGTCAATAAAAGTTTTGCGATGAGTGAGTTTTTACCATAACAACCAATGAGTTTGATTTCGCGCGTGTTTAATAGTTCAAAGTCGATTTTCGAAATTGATCTGCAGCTATTTGAAACCGCTTCATTACAAAGTTTTTGAACGTATTCATTTGAAATAATGATCTTATCAACTTCAGATTGTACAGTATACACATGATTAGATTCAATACAGTATTAAGGTAGATCAAATCTTTAGTGCATAGCAGTCAATTCTTCCTACCTAAACCGTTTGATCCCTCGTCCTTACACAAATCCAGCAACCGATAAAGACCCGGAATCAATTCACACAAGTCGTATTTATTGTCGTCTCGATCGTCGACGGATTTAACATCTACTTCCATGTGGTCATCTAACGTGAAATGTTTATTTATTTATAACCGCCGGTTTAACGGAAGTCAATGTCTATTCATCTTTGAACAGCTTTAATATATAAACAAGTTATTATTGAATCACATTTCTCACCATTAGATTGTTCTTTGTCTTCCAAATCACCTAACGAAAGGTTAGGATTGGTTTCTTGACAATTAGCTTTTACAAACGATGAACCCTATGGTCAATTCTTGGGATTATGCATTCAAATAATTACAATTATACACAATTTGTTTACATAGTCTTACCCAATTTTTTGCCCATGAGTTGAAAACGTTTGCAGAAGCAACCAAGATGGATGATATTTATCGTCAGCTCTTTTATGATAAACGGAGGAGATCAATTTGATTCCGTGTTATTATTTATCTGCATCCATCTGCCAAATTTGCGTGCTATTGTTTCTATATACATATAGATACAAGTTTTGTTTTTCTATTAATCTAACTTAATTCGTATTCAGTTGCGATGTTGCTTTTTAACCCAGATATTTAAAGTATGGACATACAATTAAAAAAAATAGACGTAAATGTACTATAAAGTTTCAATGATTCGTTTTTTTAAAGATTTATTTGGCTGCAAAGAAACCCTCATATAACACCAAAACTATTAACGAAATTACTATATTCTTTATTCTAGATTAAGACAGCCATGCAAGAGACATGTCAACATCTTGGCAGGCTTTTATTTTATTTCTAACACACAATCATCTTATTTACAAAATTATATACTGTATACTGTAGTTGTTAAATACAGTACTATATATCATTGAGTATGAACAATAACTACTGTACTTTGTTGTTTTTTTAACTTTGCCTTACCCACCAAAAACCGTTTGCATGCATGTACAGTATCAAGGAATTTAATTGTTACATAACATGTAGCCTATGTTACTTTATCTATTCTCGGCATTTTTATGTTTTTACCTCTAATAATCTTTTTTTTTCAGTGCCCTGTAAACAAAATTTGTACGTACAAAACATGCAAAATCTTAATACACATGTAAAACCGTTTCTCCTATCTCATTATAATTTGCAAAAACCTGCTATCTTTTTTTAACTAGACTTAAGCAAAGTACTTTATATATATTATATAGAAAAGTCTTAAGGATAATAATAAAAATAAAATAAGATATATATTACAAGTAAAATATTGAAATAGGTTATATATTAAAAATCCCTAAATTGTCAAAATATCTTCATTTTTCTAATATTAAAATAAACAAATAACTTAATTAAACCTTCGTGTGTTTTGTTTCAATCTCTAAAAATTTATGGATTTCAAAATTTGTTAACTATCGACTATTTTTTAATCTTTGTATTTCTTTATATTAATTTCTATAACAATTTAATCTTGAAACAAATAATTTTTTTTCTAGTTCTAAATAAACCTTTAAATTTCAATATATTGCTTTACTTAATTTAATGTTTTTCTTTAAATTATTAAATAATCGTATTAAAAAATTAACGAAAAGAGTTTACAAATTCAATTTTCAATATATTGTATAAATGTTATCATTTAAACAAATAAACAAAAAAAAAACAATTAATTTTATAAAATTTCAAAATTTTTACAAAAATAAACAATTCATTAATTTAGTAATAAGAAATTTTTTATTATGATTTTTAAGGATTTTTAAATTAAAAATTTTTAAAATCATATCATATTAAATAAAAAATCTATAATGTTATGAAAAAAAATAATTACGCAAAAGAATAAACAAAAATAAAGCATATTTCAATATATTTTTCATATTTTAAATGTTTTATTTATTTTAAATATTTTAAAAATCATATATATTGTATCTTGAATACTTATATAAAAAAGATTACTATAAATTAAAAAATTTATTTACGAAGTCTAATTGCAATATGCAATTTAATTCAGCATATATCCTTAAAATTAGCAATAATAGATAAAGTTACATAAATAATAATATAATAATCAAAGTTTAAAATAAACTTTTTATTACCTTTCCTAAAAAGCTTATTTGTCAATAGTATGTTTTTTTTCTTAATAGTTTTCTTATTATTTTAAGACAAAAAAAATAATAATAAACAAAAAATAAAAATGGAAAGACCATTGTAAGAAAAATCGTATAATAATAATAAATCATTTCTTAAATTAACATCTTTCTAATTAAGAATATGCAATTAATATTATCAAAAAAATAAAATCTAATTAACTTACTTAATCCAATACTTGTTACAAAAAAATATTCAGAATCATGAGAAAGAAAGTAATAAAACTTGTTAAAAAAAACAAATAACAGAAAAAAAAAAATTTATTAGTAAAAAACTTAGTTAAATCAAATTATATGACTTAAACAAACTTACCTAATATTGTATAAAAATTATTTTAAAGAAATAACAAATTTACTAAAAAAAATATCAAAAATAATACAATATTTTATTTATAAATTGTTTAAATATAATAAAAAATAGACAAATAAATTATTTATTATATTTTTTATTATATAATATTGGGCTGGAAAACAGTAAGTCAGTTGCTTCACCAGCTCTAAGATAGGATTATTAAAGGTACATTAAGATGTATAAGATTGATTTAGCCAGGGCTTTCATTATTAACAAGCTTTTTTCTTTTTTCTCGACACCAGCTCTTCTCTTGATAATCTCGGACTATGTCTTATAGCAGTGATTATCCTTTTCTAGATGGTGCATACTTAAAAAGATAAGTTGTTAATTACAATATTCCTTATCTGGCACTTTAATTTTACTAATCGCTGTGTTTATTAATTGCACTATTGTTTTATCTCTATCTTAATTATTTCTCGAATTAACTTTATCTGTCTTAACTCTTCTTATCTATTTCATTTTTTAATCATATTGCTATTTATATTATTGCTATTACTAGAAAAAAAATTAAAGAAAAATAGACTATCAGAGCTAAAACAAACTATGGGTAAGTTATGTAAGCTTCGATGACTATATTTTCTATGCTGATTATTAATGCTACTTTACATTTCCAGGATACGTAATATAGTGATCACGGTACGTGACTATACCTCATGACTAAAGATGGGTCCCTAAACTATTTAGCATATAAAATTTCGCAGATCAATTATATCCCTTTTGAAGGGATATAATTATTTATTCATTACTTTAATAGGGACATAATTCAAAAAACACTTGAATAAAGTGTCCTAAATTGCAAAAAAC